CTTGAAAGTATCATGGCGAGAAACAAAGAACAGGCGGCGCTTGTGAAATACGATTGCGTTGTCTCTTGGTAGACGCATGCAGTACTGGCTGGCCAAGTCGGAGTGGAGGAGAGTAGGTCGGACGGTGCGTGGCCGAATGAAATGACAGGCAGTGTTTGATGGTGATCCTTCATTGGACGTGTGGGAGGCATATCGGCTAGGAGAGGCGCTCACAGGAGGAAGAAGGGGAGCTGAGAGTGAAGAGCGATGAGTGGTGCATGCCATGAGTTTGGCAGCGCCCTCCGCTAGGGCCGCGCGCTTCGCCCAAGTGCACCGCTGCGGCGGTTGCGGCGGCGCTGCGCACTGGGGCAGGCCTCGCCGAGTCCGACGGCCTGGACCAGCACGTCGACTCCCTCGCGTCCGACGTGCTTGACGAGGTCGCGCTGCGCCTCCAGGCTATGTGCCCCGCCATGGTCGACCTGGTGGCGGGCCTGGCGCCCTCGGGGCACAAGAGGGCGCTGCGGAACACGGGGGCCCACGTCGCGGTCGGCGAAGGAGCTGAGGCGCTAGCCGAGGCGCTCCACCAGCCCAAGAAAGCCCAGAGGGGCCCCCGGAAGCGCCGCCGCGGCAGCGCCGCCACCGGCGACCCCGGCAGCGCTGGCGGCTGCTCCCTCGACGGCTCCAGCACCGAGGAGGGCGGGGACCGTGCCATGAGTGCCGGGTCAGGCGCAGGCTCCGTCGGCTCCCTGCTGTTGGACCTCAAGGACATCCTCCTGGACCTGCGGGCCGATGTCCTGTCTGGCAAGGCAGCCGCTCCCCGCGACGTGCCTGGTGCCCTCCACCAGGCAGGTTCCTGGGCCTCCTTCGGCGACGCCGTCGTTTTCGACCTCGCGTCCGAGGACGAGGCCCCCGGAGGCTACGACGTGGAGAGTTACGAGGAGATCTGCGGCGACCGCGACGCGCTCGCCCTCCTTGCCGACGAGCTGGCCGTCGAGCTCCAGGAGGCGCGGGCGCAGGCCTGGGAGGCCACGCGCGCCGCGGCGCTGAGTAAGGCAGACACCTCGGCGCCGTCCGCAGAGCTCATCGTGCCCGCGGGGGCCGAGGAGCGAATCGAGGAGAGCTCCACGGACGACGCGCTCGACAGCGACAGGGCCGAGTTCGGGGAGCAGCAACTCGCCCACCACTCCGACATCGAGCTTGACATGGGGATCTCCTCCGAGACCAAGTGCGGGGTGGGCCTCAACGTCATCAAGGCGTCGGCGGTGGAGCCCACCAGCATCGGCGACCGCGATGCCGACGACAAGGGCAAGGGCATGGAGGGGGGCAAGAAGGGGAATAATATCACTTCCATCGAGGACCACTTCCTCTCTCTGCCCATCAAGGAGTTTCAGCTCGACCTCGCCTCGCAGCAGGCCTTCGTGCAGCTCGGCGAGTTCCTTCACGGCGTGGACCCCGAGCAGCTCCTCGAGGCCCTCCACGACTACCCCTGGATCGAGGAGGTCATCGTCCGCGGCGCCCCCCGCGGCCCCGGCGCACAGCGGGAGGTCTCGTCCTGATCGGCGGCGGGCCTCGGCGCGTAGAGGAGTGCTCTGGCCGGCTGGATCCGCCTCGAAATCTTGGCGCGGCGCCCCCCAGCGTGGATTTTGGTGGCCGCCGTCTGGGATCGGGCTCGCACGTGGTGTGCGAACCCGCATCCCCGTGGGGTGGGGGCGGCCGCTGGCGGTTGCGGGGGGTGCCCGGTTTTGTCCCCGCGAGGGTGGCGTCGTTCCCCTGGCTTGCCCTCGGGGTAGGCCAGGGTCGTGACGGATGCCTGTCTGGGCTGCTTCGGGGTCCCTCCTTCGTCGCCACGGCGTCCGTCAGGCGTGCTCGAGGCGGCGCGGGACCTTTGTCGAACATCTGGCGGCCCTGGTCGTCGTCAAAGTGCTGACGGCGCCCAGGGCTTCCTTTGATGCTGTGCCGTCGCCCTCCTCCTTCTCCTGCTCCTCCTCCTGCTCCTCCTCCTCCTCCCCCTCCTTTTCCTCTTCCTCCTCCTCCGCCTCCTCCCTTCCCGTCCGTCCCTCCCTTCCCGGCCGCAAGGGGGGCCCGTGCGACGCCGAAAGGGCCCGGCCCGGGCCCGGGGCCCGGTGCGGCAGCCCGCCCAGCGCACCAGGCAGGCAAGCCCCCCCCCCCCCCCAAACACCCAGAGATTCGCTCCAGGGGTAGTCCCTCCATCTCTTGGCTCCATAGGATCGTCCTCTCCCAGGGTCGTCCCTCCATTTCTTGGCTCCATGGGATCGTCCCTCCGCCCCACCCAGAGGGAGGAGGGGGAAGAGGAAAAGGAGGAGGAGGAGGAGGAGGAGGAGGAGGAGGAGGAGGAGGAGTTGGAGGAAGAGGATCATGAGGAAGAGGAGGAGGAGGAAGAGCCTTTCCCCCGAGAGCTCCAGAAGGTCGTCTCCTCATCTGCCGCCGCTCCCCTCGGCGGAGCCTCCTGGGAGGTGGGCAGCGACCCCATCCTGCTGCACTGGGTCGCCGACGCGGCGAGGATGCGTTCCCCTTGCCTGCGCGCGGGGCGGGGCAGTTCGCCAGAAGGGGGCGTGGTGTTGAGGCGAACAAGCTGCGTTGGAGGGCGGAGGAGGAAGAGAAGGAACAGGAGGAGGAAGAAGGGCGTTGGAGAATGAGGATGAGGAGCAGGCGGATGATGATGCTGCTGCTGATGATGATGAGAGGGAGAAGGATGAGGATGAGGATGAGGGGACGGTCGATCATGATGATGATGATGATGATGATGATGATGATGATGATGATGATGATGACGATTACGATGATGATGATGGTGGTGATGATGCTTATTCTGAATTGGATGATGATTTTGTTGATACTGATTCTGATGATGGCAATGATGATGGTGATGATGATGACGACGATGATGATTCTGAGGAGGATGGCGAGGAGGATTCGTGGTGGATGAGAGGATGGGAGGGTGGTGCTGTTGGAGGAGGAGGAGGAGGAGGAAGGGTGTTGGAGAAGGGGGCGGAGGATGAGCAGGTGGATGATAATGATGCTGCTGATGATGATGACGATGATGATGTTGATGATGCTGACGATGAGGATGCTGATGATGATGCTGATGCTGAAGCTGAAGCTGATTTTGATGATGATGCTGATGATTCTGATGATGCTGCTGCTGCGGCTGCTGATAATGAAGATAATGTGGCTTATGATGAATTGGATGATAATGATGATGATGGTGATGATGCTGATGATGATGATGATGATGATGATGAGATGATGTTGCCGATTATGATGATGATCATGAGGAGGAAGAGGAGAAAGCCGAGCACGAGAAGTGGTGGACGAGAGGATGAGGGGGTTGTGCTGTTGGAGGAGCACGGGATGAAAAGCGCGAGAATGATGCTGCTGCTGATGATGACGATGATGACGATGATGCTGATGTTGATGATGATGCTGATGATGAAGATGATACTGAAGATGATGCTGATGATGCTGCTGCTGATGACGATGGTGACGATGATTATTAAACTGATGATGACGGTGATGCTGCTGCTGATGCTGCTGCTGCTGAAAATGATAGTTATGATGCAAATGATGATGATGATGATGATGATGATGATGATGATGATGATGATGGTGATCATGATAATGCTGATGCCGAAGGTGATGATTATGATGATGATGTTAATGCTGCTGATGTTGATGATGCTGATGACGACGATGATGATGCTGCTGTGGGTGGTGATGATGATGCTGCTTATGATGATGATGCTGATGATGATGATGCTAATGATGCTGCTGATGACATTGATGTTGATGGCGATAATGATGACGATGACGATACTGCTGATGCTGAAGACAATACTGACGAAGCTGATGTTATTGTGACGATGATGCTGATGATGATGCTGATGATTGTGACGATGGTAATGATGCTGCTGCTGCTATTGATGATTATCATGATCGTGATGATGACGATGATGATGATGATGATGTTGACGCTGATGATGATGATGATGCTGATGATAATGATGATGGGGATGTTGATGATGCGTATGCTGATGCTGATGCTGATGATGCTGATGCTGATGTTGATAATGATGGTGATGATGCTGAATCGGATGATGACGATGCTGATGCTGATGACGATGATGCTCATGACGCAGATGATGATGCTGATGACGACGATGATGATGCGGCAGATGTTGATGATGCTGATGATGCTGACGATCATGATGATGATGACGATTATGAGAACGATGCTGATTATGATGCTGATAACGCAGTTGATGACTATGCTGATGATGATGGTGCTGATGATCATGATCATGATGATGCTGCTGCTGATGATGACGATGATAATGATCATGATGATGATGATGATGATGATGATGATGATGATGATGAGGAGGAGGAGGAGGAGGAGGAGGAGGAGGAGGCGGAGGAGGAGGCGGGGTCGGGAGGGAAACGATAGGGAGAAGGGGGATACTGGCCAGAAGGAGTAAGAGGAGAAGTAGTAAGAGCATTCGGAGAGAAGTAGGACAAGCATGCGAGGGAGGGATGGGCTTGAGGAGTGTGAAGGAGGAAGGGCAGGAGGAGGAGGACCATTAGGAGAAGGAGGAGGGGGAAGGGGATGAGGATGAGCAGGAGGAGGAGGACACGGCGGCGGCGCAGGGACTGCGCCCGCAGCAGCCACTCGGGGAGGGTCGCTCGGTGGCAGCGTGCGCCGCGCCTGTCCCCGCGTCCGCTCTTCTCTTGTTTGATCGGCCCTCCGTGAGGTTCGTGAGGAGGGCGGGGCGGAGCGCGTGGAGGACGAGGATGCAAGAAGGACGGGGGGGGAGGAGGTGGACCTGGCATTGACGCTCAGAGGGGCTTGGCTCTCCTCGGGCTCACGGGCACGAGTTTCGTGCGGCGGCTCCAGAGGAGCGTGTCCGCGAGCGGGCCAGGTCCCGCGCGGTGGATCCCGAGGAGCTGCTCCCCGAGTGGCCCCTGCGGCCGCCTTCTCGGTCGACGTCCGACGCCCCCCCCCTCACGTCTGGGCCCCTGCTCTTCTCGTGCGTGTCAGTGGGGGGCATCACCCGAGCCTCAGAGGAGGAAAAGGTACCCACACCGCTACCCTTCGGCAGTTTTCCTCTTGTCTGGCCTCCTGGGAGGCCCTCGTCGCCACCGCTGGACTCGCCTCGAAATCCTGGTCAGAGCGTTCCCCGGGAGAGGTCCGGGGAGTAGCGGTATCGGTCCTTTTTGGTTTCCCCAGAGCCGCTCTGAAGGTAGCGAGGGCGGGGGTGGAGAGTGGGAACCTCCAGCCGTTGATCCCACGAGGCCGCTACGGGAGGCCCACAAGGTCACCGACGCAAGCTGTGGGAACCTCAAGCCGGTGACCTCAGGAAGCCGCTAAGGGAGGCCGGCCCAGAAGGTTACCGACGCAAGCTGTGGGAACCTCCAGCTGGTGACTTCAGGAGGCCGCTTGAGGGCCCCCAGAAGGTCACCGACACAAGCTGTGGGAACCTCCAGCTGGTGACTTCAGGAGGCTGCTTGGGGGCCCCACAGGGGGAGAGGGGGTGAAGCGCCAGGGACGAGGAGGGGGGCCAGGAGATGGGGATCTGCCGGAGAGCGCGCACACCTTTTACGGTCGGTTCGCGTGGTGTCGACCGGCGGCGACCCCGCCGTCGGCTTTCAAAGTCGAACGCTGCTGGCGACCCAGGAACGGTCGATGTTGAACGATCTGACGTTTAGGCAGCGGCCGATCGTTCAAGGTTGAACGACCCCCGATCGTTCAAGGTTGAACGACCCCCCCATCGTTCAAGTCGGCACGACACCAACCTGCCGTATCCCCCCTACCCCCCGCCGGGTTTTCGCAGGGCGCGATGCTCTAGTGCGCACTCGCGCCGCTCGGATCCCAGATGCCCCTTCCACCCCTCCTCCTCCTCCTCCTCCTCCTCCACCTCCTCCTCCCCTAGCCCCTTCCCCTCGAGCTTCTTTTTTCAGGGGCGATCGCACACACTTCCACACCCCAGCGTTGCGCCTGTCCATGGCTGGGCCTATCTCTGATGTGTGCAGGTGACGTTCGTGGGGGGCAACATATTTTTCCCAGTGGCTTTCAGAAGTGCAGTTGTTTTCAGAAGTAGCATGTCTCTGAAGTTTGTCACGTACAACCCTTTGAGCCTGGTATCTGCAGGAAGAGTAGATGAGATTGCTTGTCGGCTTAATGTGGATGTGATCTTCCTCCAGGGCACGTGTGTTCGGGAATGGGTAGGCCGTACGTATCACGTGGAGCGTTTGAGTTCTCGCAGGATCGCACTACACTTCGGCTGGAGTCGGGCCCCTCACTCGAATTCTAGCGCGGGATGTTGCATCATATTGGGGAGGCGTCTACACCCTAACTACATCAAGCACGTGCACGCAGGTCCTTCGAACATCCCTGGACGTTATGGCGAAGTCCGCATCAAGGGTCCTGGTCTTGATCTTACGCTGATCACGGTGTACCCGCCGCCCTTGTATGAATCTGGGGGGAAGCGTCGAGCCCAAATAAAAGCAATAAAAAGCACACATGAGCATCTTAGAGCACGTGTTGAACGAGCCGCGACACGCAGTACAGTAGTCGTAGGCATGGACCTCAACTCTAGTATTGGTCTGGGAAGTGATGGTTTGCGTCGAGATGAGGCTGGTGAACAGATCGGTCCTCATCATGTCGGTCGTCAGGGACTCGGGGGCACGATGGTTGGCGATCTCGTCCTCGATTTAGATATGGCGGCCCCGTGCACTTTCTACCCCCATGCTGGTCCGACATTTTATGGCAATAAGGGGGAGACCAGCACCATCGACATGTTTCTAGTTCCTCGTGGTCTTCTTCCTGGGGTAAAGAGGTGTCAGGTGGCCTGGAGGAGCGGGCGAGAGCTTCAGCTGATTCCGAGCGGGCGACCGCGCGACCACATGCCAGTACTTTTGGAAGTCCAATATGCCATGCCTCACTTTTTTCGGGACCCGAATTTCTTCCGCTGGGACTTTCAAAAACTTGCAGCAGCCCTGCAGTCTGGTTTGTATCGGAAAGAGTTTCACGAAGAATTGGAGGCAAGTTTTGCGTCTGCGGAACCTACCTTCTCTGAGTACCAGCAGGACACGCACACGGATCGTGAGTATGATCACTGGATTAGCATAGTACAGGACACGGCGTGCAAGCACTTTGCACTCGCACCTATCCCTCAGCATGATGTGTATCGTGTTTTACGTCGTGAGCGCTTATCTCTCGTCCGTGAACGTCATCAGCATCGTTGGGAGTTCCATCATTATTGGACTACCTATGGCCATCTCCCCTGCTATTCGGAGGAACACTTGGAGTGCCGCAGGAGAATCCGTCACCTTGGTGGTCTGCTCCGTCGTCTCTTCCGCAGGACTCGCGCTCGACGGCGGGCTGCTGTACTCGAGGACCTCCATGAGGCCCGCCGCCTGGGCCACCAGGCCGAGGTTCACCGATTAGCACGTGTCTTAGCTGGGAGGTCCACGGGGGTTAAGCACCGTAAATATAACCACATA